CATACAACTTTGATGTGAAAAGGCAAACTACAAGGACTCGATTCAACATGTTAACGATTCAGAGGAGTTAACATTTAAATGGTTTTCGTCTTTGTGGAAATTCACCTGAGCTTGGCTAATGTAGCCCTAACTTTGTAATGGTTAGGGTCAATTTAACATCATAAACCGATATCACCTATTCCTTTTGATCATCGGGATCAGTGATTGGCTGGATGGGGATGACCAATCAGATGAATCCTTCTCATCAAATATGCATGCCGAGGGGGAACATTACATCGAGTAATGAAGCCCTGCCTATAGTCACACATAACACGAGACACAAGCTAATGAGTTTCGGGTATCTGAACTGCCACATTCTTTCGTCTTTAATCAACTCCGTCACCATCCAACTGAAACAAAATCCAACGAAATCCTCCCTTAAGATCCTTTCAGGTACTCTAATGGACCGTACTTGTTTATGGGGAAATGTATTTTATGGAAACATGCAAGACATATTTTTCATTAAAAAAAAATAGTTTGAAAATAATCAACTTTTTAAAACATGTTTCATGAATTGACAACTATTTTTAATTTACAATATGATCACCAGTGGATTTGGAAAACAGCTTTTGTAGATTTCTGTCTAACCATTTGTTTAGGTACGTTGACCCCAGTTTCTTTGAGAAATTTCTGCCCCAACATTTGGTCAGGTGAACAGGCTGTGATTTCCCCTCCTCCCACACACAAAAAAAGAAAAAGAAAGAAATGAAAGAAAATCAGCTAACACTTGTTTTTCTCCTAAAATATCATTTGCGGTTATATTTTTATTGATATATCTTATTTTGATAGTTTTTGAACATATGAAGTAATTTTCTTTGATCCTGTTCACATGCATTGAAATTGTGCTAGGAATGATTTATGAAATCAAGAAAAACTGAAAGTTCAAAGTTTTTGCTCAGACTCAACTTTTTGTTAGCTCACTAGCAGGAAGTTGCAGTTACCTAATTGTTTTCTAACAGTGTCCATCGTCTGTCCATCGACTTTTTTTCTTCGTCTTAAAACTAAAACATTTTCAAGGTCACTGGGGTCAAATCTTTTTCTCATATACTGGTAATATGTTTAGGTCAAACTCTGAGCACTGACAAGGGGTAAAGGGTTAACATCGGTTATAGGTAAAAAGCTTTAAGAGCATTTTTCTAAAATTCCATAATGCTCAGAGTCCAGATATATGGTGAGAAGGTGATACCTGGTAGTGAGTGCTATTAAGTTTCCTCATATGAATTACCTTTACCAACTTTCAAGGTCACATGAGTCAAAAATGTTAAAAATATGTTAAAAACTTCAGAAACATTTTCTAAATAACCAGAAAGTCTGGAGTAATTATACTTAGTCCATGGGTTATTACTTGGAATTGATTGAAATCACAATCACAAAACCATAACAACACAAATATGCTACCAAGATCAGTCCCGGATCTGGACCTGCCCCTAGGTACTTCATTTCTGGTCATTACAAAGAAATAAGACCTCACCCTATCGCCATATGTATCAATCTCAGCCAGATAGGTTATGAAGCATCCTTATGACCAGAAAGACAGTGGCCAAAATGAGGATATATTGGCAATACTACTTTTAATGAGATTTCTTTTGTGAACGTAATCTGTCCATCCAGGTGGGGCCACCCTTTTTGCCTAAGGGATTCAATATTGTGTGAATAAAGGGTTTGAATCCCTCCCCTACCCCTATTGCCAAGGGCAGAGGGATGAGGCATTTTCGGGGGCAAATACAAATATAAGTAAATCATAAAATCCTACTCTGTGAGTATTTTCTATTTTTATTTTACACAAGTCAACTTAATATTTAATTTTCACTTCACAAAAACACAAGTTGAAGTTCAAGTATTTTATTTCAGTATTCAAAAAACATTGTACACCAAATAACATACACATACAATAATAAGATTGTGTCAAAATAAGTAGATTTACTGAGGTAATCTTCAGCTGTGTTTACTTCAAATGTATCACAAAATAAACAAATAAATACACAACTTGTGATGTATCGGATGTAAAATAGTAAATTCCTGAGTAAAATGACTTCTTTTTCACAACATATAATATTGATCTGCCCAAAACTTTTGTTGGTAATGTTTGACTGTTCATGATCAAAAATACATTAAGGATGCCTGTCCAACTGTATAGGCAAAACACAGAACTACCACTGATCATGTGTCTCAGTTTGAAAGAGCAGACGTATTGTGATCGGAGGTCCAGGGTTCGAATCCATGCAGGTCTGCCTATTAATTTATTGTTACTATTTTGTTGATTTCATTTTTATTACTTTTTCATGAAAGTTCTAAAATGCAATGGGTATCGTTTCAGAAATTATTTATTTACCGCGTAAGCTGTTTCATGCTCATAATAAAAAGTTTAAAATACAAAGTTTTCGTACAGTTTTCAGCAGTGGCACAGAAACCGTTAACTCCCTAATGGACAAGCAATATGAACTATTCCAACTTTTTAATTGGAAGAGTTCAAATGTGTCTTCAGGGGTGAATGAGTTAACATTATTTGTACAAGAGTTGTTTGTATAACATTTATGTCTGGCCTAGAATGAGCAGTGCCGGTTCCAGCCCCCCAAAATCCCTACATCCCCAATTCCCATCTAGCCCCCCCTACCCCTCCAGAGTGATTCAATACTTTTCAAAATTTCCATGGGGGAGATTACGTGTGTTCAGAATTAAAAGCATATATAAATTGTGTGTATGTACCGTATTTTACCGGCAATAAGCCCCCTCTTGCAAATAAGCCCCCTCCCCACTTTGGTAAATGTCCTGGGAACAGGGTGGGTGCCTGCCATTAAGCCCCCCCCCCCCCCTTTTTGCAGGTGAAAAATGCGAAGTCGTTTGGAAAAAAAACCATGATAGTTAAAAAAAACATTTACTTGTGTCTGTGTTGGTTTTTTTTAGAATCTACACCCTAGGGGAAAAAATGACACTTTGAAATGGCATCTTTTGGGCTGTTTTTTCGGATGATATCATCAGATCTTAGAAAAAAGGAATAGTTTAGTAAATTCACTGGTTGAAAATGCTCGATGTTAGGGGCCAAAATAGGGAGTCTCCCTTTAACTTAGGGAAAGTTGGCAAGTATGCCAGACCTCATTTAAGAAAGGGTGATCAGGCAGGAGAAAGAGGAACAAATGAATTTAGGAGTTGGTCCCTCTGCTTTTGCCAATCCTGAATTTACCACTGATTGGTAGATTTCTGTATAATCTATAGCTAGGGTTGTATGGTTTGCCCAAAGTGTCAGAATCATGTATGGCGGGGCATGACTGGTTGCAACAAAGTCAATATAACCTACATATGGCAGAGTGGAGCCTCGTATCGTGTACTTCGTAACAGTAAATGATATTACAGCAAGATGACACCATTAACTCATACACCCCTGAAGACACATTTGAGCTCTTCCAATTCAAAGGTTGGAATAGTTCAATACGAAATTTCAGGGGTGAATGAGTTATGTGCCTCTATGAAATCTGATATCACCACGGTTGTGTATTGATGATTGACCCTGGTATACTCAACACTTGATGCTTGCAACATATTTTTAAATATTTATCATGCATAAATCATCAATTCGATAATTAATTTATTCATTCATTCAAATTATTAATCATCAGTCCTTCTAGCACGTGTATTTCCGTCCGTTATCCAATAATGAATTCGCTGTCATTGACACTATCACAGTAAGTCTTTATGTTCGGGGATTTTCATCCCTAAATTTGCATAACATGTTCTTTTAGTTATTAGATAATATATTCATTATCATCATCAAAGTATGTCATTATGCACTGAAGTTTTGTGAATATTTTTCAGTACGTTACATTTTAAAACGCGTAGGAAGATTTCAATAAGAGAACAAAATGGAAAATATTTTTCTGGGGATTTTCTAAAAGGTATGGGATATTCCATCTTGGTTACCAATATTTTCTTCTTCATGAAAGTGTATATTTCAGACAAATATTTTCGAAGACCCAAGTTTAATACGAATTTCTGAACAAGGGACAAACACTCCCAAAAGGGGACTGAAACTGATCCTTATTTTTCAATTTACAAAAATAAATAATGAACATGAGTGAAACATATATCGAGGTATACTAGATAATATATAAAAATTCTTGATTTGACCTATAAATGTAAAAAAAAAAAAAAAGTAGACCAATAGAGGTCAAGGTCAACTTCAAGGTCACCAGAATACAGTACAATTGTGATAGCATATAAGATACTCTTATCATATTTATATAAATATTGAAACAAATAGTTAAAGAGTAACTGTAGTGCTGCAATATTTTTCAAGTAAAGAAAGATTGATAAATAAATAAATATTTGCAAAAATAACGAAGTTGTAACCTTTTTACTAAATTTCAAGCCTGAGAGCAAATTGGAAAATCTATGATTTTGACCTACGACCAAAAGTGACGTAGCAGCGGTGACCCAAACATCCAGCATTCAAGGGCAGTAACTCAATAAAAAGTTACTGTCCCCACCTACAAAAAAAACCAATGGTGCACAACTAAATTTAGCACTTAATGTTGTTGTATTGTTTCCATGATGATCTTGTCCCTGCAGGTAGGGCGTAAGAATTCTACCATTGCATGATTGAAAGAGGCGACTAAATTTGGGTACTTATCTTTTCTCTTCTTTCTAGACAACTTCCTAATATCTCCCTTGACAATGCCTCACTTTTGGCCTTTAGTTGAGCGTTTGCCCCTGTGAGGAAGGCTTTGGGTTCTGCTTAACGCTCAGCAATTTAGGAGTGGGACAACTGGTTCGCCCAGTGTCAGTATTATGTGACCGGGTGGGGTGTCCTGCTGGGTGTCTTCGGTAGTATGTTTCAGTGAGGTAGCACTATAAAGTCGGCATCAGATCCATGCTATCACAAGGAGGCAAGCACACCTACATACCCTGTCTCCTGCATACAACCACGCAAGCAGCATACACTACACACATGGAGGCACGTCCTTAAATGACCTTAGCTTATAATAGGATATTAAATATTAAACCAAACCATGTTGATCTATTTTTTCATTTTTTATATCTAAGTGGAGTGAACATCCCATCAACAGGCACAAATGGCTGTATTTTCAACATAAACAATATATTAATTGTGACCTCAATTAAAATGAAACATTAACATACATGTGTTTTATTCAGATGAATCTAACACTCATTTATATTAAGGTCAAAGGTTAAAATCAAGAAGGTCATTAATGAATCCATCTGATATTTAAGAGATGTCGATAAAAGTGTTTCTAACGAAAACATTTTTATTTTTTTGCTGAGCAAGTAAATTTCAGTTCATACATTCATTATCTGATAAGCAAAAGAAATCTTACGATAGAATATTTTATAACACTGATCTTGACCTGTATTAAAAACTTTCTTGTGTATGCAAGAGAGATCCAATTAATTGCAACCTTGAACTATCTTGGCCTTTTACAAGATCCTTTATGACAATTTCATTTGGTATGCAAAATAGATTCTTATAATAGAATCTATTTAACAATGTGACCTTGACCTATGTGTTGTGTTATTTGACAGCTATCAAGTCCTTGGGTCCGACAGGGCCACAGGCTTTCCGATGGGCAATGATCTCCTCTTCACCGAAAATCTTAGATGGCTGAGGCTCAAAGGAAAAATGTCCATGGTCCTGTCCGCACACATAGGTGACAGAGTCTCCGATATCCAACTTCTGCTTCACATACGCACCACAGTATCGTAGGGCGACACCTATTCGGCGTACGTTACCTGAAGATCAAAGGTCAAAATAGTCAGCAAATTATATTGATTCTTTTATTGGTTTATACTCAGAATTAATGTACATGGTGTATTTTAAGTAATACTGATGTGAAATAATTGTCATTGTTATTAGGGAAAATTGTCAAAATGTCCCAGGCCAGACCAGCAATCAACCCAGGGACATCAGGATCTAGAAATACAAAGCTATCGCTCCATCACTGGTGACTGACCAGTACAAATCTGTTACACCTTTTTCTGCCATTTTTATATTTTTTTTAAATCTAAGCCACTGAAGACAACACTATTTACAACCCAGGATTGGTAAACCTTTACCAAGAGCCTACAGTACATATAACTACGGTTGGTCACAGGCACAACTTTTGTACTAGTATGGCAAACATGAGGCTCATTATACCTGAACCACTTATCTGGTATTCAATGCTTTAACTGGTAATACATTTCACATCTGTGACCTTCACATTCGGTCAACATGAAATTTATTTTAAACACACTGGTAAAAAGCATGCTTTCAATATATATGCTGAGTTTCAATACTCTAAACATAATATATAATCTTTGCTGGTTATTCTAAGAGTCAAATATTTTTTTATAAAGGAGATATATATTGCATTAAGGTATCATGTTTCCTTAAGGATCCCTGTCCCACTGCTGGCAAAACATTACAGAACTACATGGTAGTGTTTCATTCATACAGTTATCTCCCCTTCATTTCATTTTGGATACAACTTAACCCTTTCACCACTGTAGACCATTATGGACTCATCCAGATGAATGTATGGTAGAGTCTACTCAAGTTACCTAGGGGTGAAAGGGTTAAGTGTGACTGGGCCAGGGTACAACCGTTGACCAGGGAGTTCAGTTGGTTAGAGCAATGGCATAATGATAAGAGGTCCAGGGTTTGAAACCTGGCCTGGCACCATTACATTTTTACATTTAAAACACTGTTTGTTGATGCATTTTATATCTTTTTTTATATTCAGTATTATTTTATTAAAGTCAAGCAGGGTATTGTTTTCTATTCAAAAGCTATGGTCAACTGTCATGCTAGAAAAACAGTTTCCACTGTATAGTCTTCAGCAGTGGCACGGGGTTCCTTAACTGAAATTATCTTGTTATATTTGCAGGTTTTCGTTGAAGATTCTACACTTACTATTGTTAGGTCCCGAGGAGTGAACGGTCATCACATGATGGACAGATGCTTGACCAGCAGTCAATTCCGCAGAAACAATGGTAGATTTCTCTACTTCCACAGGAATTTCTTGGCCATACAGCAGCATGGATTTGTCTGACATCGTATTTGTGTGGTCAAGCTGGCCCTATCAGCAAAATCATAGGTACGTATTTCAACTGTAATCATAATTTTTTTTCGGAATGGGTTCATTCTGATATTAGGTATTTTTTAAGCATAAATGTGTTTTTTTAAAGACCGTCCTACGGAGGTAAAATCCTAAAGCATTATATTAAAATGCCATCTTGGTAGTTTTGTAAACTGTACCAGAGCCATGCGATTTCTGTGCATGGATACAAGAAAAGTCTTCTCAAAATTGGTTAAGTAGAAATTGCCTGTATCACAATGTTAAAAGTATATATTATGGTAAATAACCGGAAGTTAAATGTTGAACAGACTAGAATTAGCATGATAGGTGAGCTATTTGAAGATATTTATCAATAGTTTACCATAATTTAACATAAAATTATAATTATTGCTGATTAACTTAATGTTACTGATTAACAACAGAATTGTTTTTATGCTGTCATGGTGTAACTCAGAAGAGAGTGTAATACAGAATATTTACTTTTAGATGACTTTTTGAGGAGAATTCCACACAGCCGTTATCTATGTTGGAATCTGTTAAGGCGACCCACACTGTCAGGGCATCAGGAGGGTCCATACCTTTAACACCAATAAAGTGATATAGCTAGTTCTCCTGGATTATATATGGTTTATAGCAATGCCTTCTTGTTATTGGATTAACTAAGACAAAATTGTCTATGTCATGATTATTTTTTTTCCAGATTTAACTACATGTTTATTTGATGTGTGCATAAATAATCAACTGGTACCTCAATCTCATTATTTTCCTAACATCTGATGCCATACTTCATTCCATGGCAGTGTGGCATCGGAAAGAATGAAAGAGCAAGTTCCCGTAGCTTGAATCCTGGTGCCACTCCTTCTCATCTATGTAAGCTGAATCCTTTAGCCACAACCCTATATAAACATTTAGGCTGAATCCTGACGCCAGTCCTGTTTATATACATAAGTTGAATCATGTTGCCTATGCATATAGACTGAATCCCGGTGCCACAATCCTACCAGCCTATGTAGGCACAATCCTGAGGCCACAATCCTTCCAACCTATGTAGGCTCAATCCTGAGGCCACCAGTACTCCTACCTTGTGCCACACCCCTACCTACCTATGTATGTGGAGTCCTGGTGCCACCCACAGGACTTCCCAGATCCAGGATCCTTGGGAAAAAGATCTGTTGACCAGCACACAACATCAGGACCTACAAAATCATGTGATGTGGCTTTATTTATTCAGATAGGAACAGGTGAGAAATACAGGCACCATGGACCTCTTGCTGTGACAAACGGACAGTAGAACACTTTATCATATAATCGGCCTGTTATCCAGTGAATTCGCCCGTGTAATATTTTTACATATGTCACTAGTGTTATATACCCTCGAGCGTTTTTCATTGTCTGTGCCAGTCAGAAATCAATTGTGACGTCATAATATGGACAATGACGTGACTTCATAAATTGTGAATGGCGCAACAAAATGGCTGTCTCTGTTTGATTAAGCCCTCTACACTTTGGCTTTAAAACCTTTCAAAATGTAAGTTTTCTGAGTTATGTGATAAAAAGTATCTTAATTTGTTTTCATTTCATATGATCTTTTATGAAACTCGTCGCGAAGTTTTAGTTTTTGCTTGCCAAGGCTCGCAAAAATATAAACTCCTAAGACTTGTTTCATAAAATCTCATATGAAATTAAAACTCATTTAAGATCCTATATAAGTTGCCATAAACCACTGATCATAGTGTAATTCATGAGTGAAAACAGTGAGCTGCCCAGTTATATAAAGGTAGCCAGTGTTTAGTTTACCATAGTGACAAATAAATATTTCCATAGAGAAAACCGCAGATTTTTTCCATTTGTATATTCAAGACAGTGGTGTATTTTATATTCAGTTTGTCTTGATGTCTAAAAGCTAAAAATGTTGTCAAGGATAATATATCTTCTCTCCAATACTTCTAGTTTATCTCAGAAACCATAATACTGATATTACTAAAATTGACATGATCATACACTAAAGTTTCCACTAAATCCAAGATGGTTGCCACGGCTTCTGATTGATAGAGATCATTTTGGGTATAACTTTTGCTCTGTAACAAGAAAGAGAGTAGTGTGCTTCCAACGGGGATCAAACCTGCGATCCCAGACTTCCAAGTCAGATGCTCTAGCACTGAGCTTAAGGGAACTTCCCTCTATAGCGTAGCTTAAAGGCGACCGTAATCCTATGTACAATTAAAATCTGCCACAGTTCTATTTGACTATTTCACCTGGAGTAACCAGATTTGGTGTACAAGGACATCTTGGGATGACGGAGTGCAGAGAGCAAGAATAAGACCACTGTGACTTTTGACTTGACCTTTGACCTGAACTTTTGAAAAAGTTTGCCCGGGGCATTAGAATTAGGTAACTGTGACCTATTACTTGACCTTTGATCTTAACTTTTGAAAAAGTTTGTCCGGGGCATATCTTCTGTGCTATTTCATCTGGAGTGACCAGATTAGGTGTACAAGGACATCTTAGGATGGCAGAGCTAGTGCAGAGTGCAAGAATTAGGTCACTGTGACCTATGACTTGACCTTTGACCTTAACTTTTGAAAAAGTTTGTCCGGGGCATATCTTCTATACTATTTCACCTGGAGTAACCAGATTTGGTGTACAAGGACATCTTGGGATGACAGAGTGGAATTAGCAGGTCATAATATCCTCACTGTGACCTATGCTTCCTGACACAAGTGTACTGTTTATTTAATATAGGAATCATTACAAGTGGGGACTATGCCTTGCCTTGCAATACCCTGCTTTGTTGATAAAGGGTTCATGTTGAATAACAAATATTAACTACCTTTTCACTGATATTTTCAAATTCAAGATCTTTTTGGCTTCTGATTTGCAATGATGGGGAATTAAATGGTCAGACAATGGGTTAGACTCTTCTTGACATGTCGGTGCTCTAGTTGTAATTCAAATACTAACCAAGGAGCTGACAAACAAGATCCACAACCTTGGGATGGGTTACAAGGTCGTGTAACCACGGCAACAAAAGATGGGCTTTAAATCTGTAGGTGCCGGTAACTTTTCCTCCCAAGCGGTTCTCGTAGTCCAGAAAACCCTTCAAATAGCACTCAGTTTCTTCCTTCGTGAGTATGTCAGATTTCAATATGTAGCCATTTTGTTTAAAACTTTCCACCAGGACCTCTTGGTCTTTTTGTCCTTCCATCATCAATACTTGATCAACAAAAATAAACAATACAAAGTTATAATCATAACAAGGCATCACAAGTGATACAAATCCCCTCACAGTCACACATTGTGACATATCTAAGAGGAAATGAAGTTGCTAGAGCAATGACATTTTTTTTCTCTAAAAATAGTAACATCGACCTTGACCTTTAACGCAGTAACCTGAAACGCGAACTTGTTCAAGGCATTGCCATACCAAACACTTGTATGAAGTTCATGAAATTCTATTGAGGAATGAAGTTTATAGAGCAATGTAAAAGATTTTCTAAAAACAGTAAAAGTGACCTTGACCTTTAACGCAGTAACCTGAAACGCGAAATTGTTCAAGGCATTGGCATACTAAACACTTCTACCAAGTTTAATGAAATTCTGTTGAGGAATGAAGTCGATAGAGAGATGACAATGTTTTTCTAAAAATAGTAACAGTGACCTTGACCTTCAATGTAGAAACTCGAAACGCGAGATTGTTCAAGGCAGTCTCATACTTAACACTTGTATGAAGTTTCATGAAATTCTGTTGAGGAATGAAGTAACTAGAGCGATGACAAAGAGTTAACATAGGTACATACGTACGTAAGGGCGGAATCCTATATCCCCTCTAACTTTCATTACGAGAGGATAATTAGGGGTGTGCAATATTACCGGTATACCAGTATATTGTTGAGTCAATACAATAAATTTGTATGCAAAATACACTAGCAATGTACTGCAGGTGTTAAAAATTCAGCAGTATTTTAGAGTTTTGTTTTCTTTATTTTTGGCACTAAGTAAAAGGGAACATGGTGTCGAAATATTAAAACTGGATCAACACTTGCTTAAACGCATCAATAGAATATATGTTATTTATTCAAAAACACATCATCAGAGGGTTTTTAATCCTTGGCAATATACAAGAGTTGCAAAACAATGCATGAGGTTCAATCCCATTCAATTTAACAAAGCCTTTCAAGATGATTGGAAAGATGCACACAGAGATGGAGGCACTGACAAAGCGATTACTATAACAACAACCCCCCCCCCCCCCCCCCCCCTGCCCCTTACTGAGGTGGGGGTGGGAAGTATGACAAATAACAAACCAATTACTGTATACCGCTTCACTAAGTAAGAAGGGGGGATAATAAGTTCTTTATAGTTTTTAAGCTTTGAGCTAAGATATACAGAGAGATTAACCTGGCTTTTGTGGTATGAAGCATGAGTCCTAATGACTTCCTCGTTGAAGGATATCAGTCTTTCACAGAATGTCTTCCTGGCATATGCCAGTACCCATTCATACAGCTGGATGAACAGGAGTAAAGGGACAAAGTGTCGTTCCTTTTGTTCCAATTAAGCTAGTAGCTTACTGCCACTGAACTAACTTTATACCATTTACAGTACTGTTTGATATATTTAGATGGAATGAAACAGAACAAACGAAATATATATTGCTAGGAGACTCATGTCAGCTCAGCCTTAAACTGAAAAAAAAAGATAAAAGGATTGTCCCTTCTTCCTTGTGCTTACCTGAAGCAGTATAGTACATACCTATTGATGTTTTCCAGGTAAAATTATAAAAGGCATTACATTACCGTACAACTGAACTTCAAAGGCCATTAATTCACAGCCGTGAGTACAATTAATGGCGTTACCCAATAAAGGAGTAGTTTATTTCTAGTGCATCAGTATTAAAAAGTACAATATTTAAAACAATTTATACATCAAAAAGATATGTCTGTTAGAACAATGCTAAACACTGGTGTACATATGTGATAAAACAATGATAAATTCTGGTGTCTTTGAACTATCAGATGTTGCACTTTTAGAACTGATCATTTTCAGTACTAATGGTCGTGACGTCGATACTAAATATAGTTACATCAGACACGTGTACCACATAAAACAATATTAATTGGTAAAGGCTAAGTACCTACAAACTTCTAATTCGCAACATCTGTAATATTGAAATTAAAATCGACCACGTAGCCACAACTAGCTGTTAAGTGGTTCTGATAATTTAATGGTTAGTGACACCTGTCTCTAAAATAATAACAGCAGCTTTTAAAGTCAAACAAGTGATAACTATCAATTATTTCATACCAATAATACAACACTGTAAAGCTAACAAATAAAGCCCTCCCACTTAAACTGATTCACCCCCTGAAGACATATTTGAACTCTTCCAATTCAAAGGTTGGAATTTTTCATTATGAAATTTCAGGGGTGATTGAGTTAAGGTAAGTTTGATGCCATCCCAATTTTTATTGGCCTTTAGTCTTTCGGCTAATTAGCATAAACATTACAACACATTTTACGAAACTGAGTGAGTGATAAACAGCAATACAGACATATTATGGAGGATGGACAATATACATGTAATTATTCATTTGATCTCAGTTGTGAAGCAGCAATTAAAAATTTGGAAAGATTATTCAATTTCTTCTTATTTCTAATAGAAAGTAAGTGAATTAATTCAAACATAGACGGTCTAATTCTGTAATATCTGTCAATGTATTGTGTTCTTGCTTCGTTGTAAAATGGACAAACAAGAATAAAATGCCATTTGTCCTCTATATCGCCTAAATTACACTTTACACATACTCTTTCATTTCGAGCATTCACTACACATCCCTGTTTCGAGGTATTCTCTCATATCTGCCCCTTTCTTTATGAAGGTCGTTTGGAGATAACCTAAATTTTACGCAATGGTTAAAATACAAGATTCAGGAAAAGATTTATAAAGATTTACAAAGATAACGCTGAAGACAATTAACCTCGGGCAGATATCTGTATAAAAAACATTTCGTAGAGTTCTCAAAAAAACTGTCCTTATTTTGTATAAAAACATCACGTAGATGTAGTTGAACGTCCAGTATAAATTGATTCTTACATACAAATTTCTGACCTTACCAAACATATCCAAAACCTAGAGACATTAACATTGATTTAACATTACTAAGCCAGTTGGTCTTTGTGTTTACTTCAAACAACATATCATTATACAAGGCTTTCGAAATTCAGTCCTCTGTTTCAAGTTATTTCAACCAATACTTAATTATTCTCATTTTCCGTATTATACAAAGTAGTAATCTACCGAGTTCAGAGTACAACATATTGTTTGGAGTACACCTTCTGACATTAAGTAAGAGCTTATAAAAATCTATGTGCACTTTCTCTACGTCAGGGGGCAGCATGGAATCGCCGTAGTTTAATACACTTGAAACTTAAATATCAATTACGTGTATTTTAGTTTCAATGTTAAAAATATTTTTATTACAAATAATCATTATGCTATATACACATTTTCGACCTTGCTGACTAATAATACTCTGAGTTATAGTAAACTTTCCATTACAAAAACAATGTAACACCCAGATCATTGAAGGACTCAACAATTTCAACGGTTTTTCCGTTGTAATACCATTTGTTAGTATTTGAAAGATTACCGCCATTATGAAATACAACGATTTTCGTTTTGGCCACATTGACCTTTATATTCCATGTGGTACTATAGTCATTTTAAGGTATCTTTTGGTTCGGTTTGTTTGTGCTTTACGTCCTATTAACAGCTATGGTCATTTAAGGAAGTGCCAGGTTTTGGTGTTGAAGGAAAGCCAGTGTTCCCGGAGAAAAACCACGACCTACGGCCAGTACCTGTTGACTGCCCCACGTAGGCCTCGAACCCGCGACCCAGTGGTGGAGGGCTAGTGGTAGCAGAATGTCAGATGCCTTAACCACTTGGACATCGCGGCCCCACATACATGGTATCAAGCATAGTCTGAAGTCCTTCTAGGTAAACAGTACCACGGCCTCAATTATAAGAGTATAGTCTGAAGTCCTTCTAGGTAAACAGTACCGCGGCCTCAATTATAATAGTATAGTCTGAAGTCCTTCTAGGTAAACAGTACCATGGCCTCAATTATAATAGTATAGCCTGAAGACCTTCTAGGTAAACAGTACCACGGCCTCAATTATAATAGCATAGTCTGAAGTCCTTCTAGGTAAACAGTACGATGGCCTCAATTATATTAGCATAGTCTGAAGTCCTTCTAGGTAAACAGTACCATTTTTTTAAGATTTCCCTCATAAATATATACAAGAGGCCCATGGGCCTTAACGGTCAGCTGAGTCTACAGTATTATTTTTTTTGTTGAAATATGTACCAATTTGAGTAAAAAATAGTATAATGTTAACTTAACTTTGTCAGGACCATGAGCTGATCATTCCTAGACCAATTTTAAGTGAGATCGGCCTATTAGAATTTAGTAGCAAAAAAGCGGCCATGGCAGCCAAATTGTATTTCTGATTGACCCGAAAAATAACAACACTTTGTCAGGACCATGAGGCGATCATTCCTACCAACTTTCAGTTCAATCGGCCCAGCAGAACTTGACTTTAAGTTTGAAATGTAAAATGTTAACGGACGACGGACGACGGACGACGACGGATGAAAACGGATAGCAATAGGTCACTTGAGCTAAAGCTCAGGTGACCTAAAAATATCAAGCAACATAAAAAAAAAAGTGTTCTGGTCTAGAATTATTTCCCTTGACAAAATATTCATCTTTCAATTTGATACTGTATTTCAATTCCCAGAAAGCAACAATGGTAAAAACAAGGATTGGCATTAGCTCTATGAACTGTTCAATATATACTAGCTCTATGAACTGTTCAATACATAATCTTATGATGAACTGTTCAACATATACTCTTATGATGAACTGTTCAATATATACTCTTATGATGAACTGGTCAATATATACTAGCTCTATGAACTGTTCAATACATAATCTTATGATGAACTGTCCAATATATTCTCTTATGATGAACTGTTCAATACATAATCTTATGATGAACTGTTCAATACATACTCTATGAACTGTTCAATATACACTCTTATGATAAACTGTTCAATATATACTCCATGAACTGCTCAATATATTCTCTATGAACTGTTCAATATATACTCTATATATTGTTCAATAATACTGTCTTTTTATGAACTGTAGTTA